ACAGTATCTATAAATATAAAAGTTCACTCATTTTTCTGCCATTTCATACTTACTATTGAACTCTATGGTGACTTTTTCATTTCAATTCTTTGCTTTTCAGCTCTAGAATTTCTATATTCTTTTAATAATTTCCCTTTTGATTAGTATTATTTGATGATGAAACACTGCCATGTTCTTTAATTCTTTAAGTATGATTTTCTTTAGTTCTTTGAAAATTTTTATAATGGCTGCTTTCATGTCTTTGCAATGTCTAATATCTGGGCCCTCTCAAACACACTTTGTCTACTTTTTTCTTCTATGGGGTCATACTTTGTTTCTTTGCAGGTCTATAATTTTTTGTTAACAACTGGACATTCTAGATAATGTATCATAGGAGTTCTGGATACTAATCCTCCTCACTCACTCCACTCCCTCCCCCACTGGTTTCTTGTTTGCTTATTTGCTTAGCAACTTAGTAAAACTAGTTCAGTGAGATCCAATCCCCTAAGTGTGGCTCTGATGTCATTCCTCAGTAGGCACAGATTTGGGCTGAGTGACATTTTGCTTTTTCCTTTTAAATGGATATTTCTTCCAAATGGCTCTGTGAGTGCCTCACTGCCTGATCTTGGTTGAATTTCTGGCTGTCACATCCATTTGTTAGCCTCGGCCAGTTGCTTGCTCTATTTGTCTCGGCCTTGTAGCATAGTGTCCCCACAGTCTGATCTAATAAATCCTTTTGTAAGTGTCCTCTTTGAGCTGGTTCTCGAGTCTTGCTCTGACCTCAGGAGCTCCTCTTAGCTGGTCTGCTCTGCTGTCATGAAGCTGTCAGCCTCCTTTTAATTGTTCACCATCAAATTTTTTGTTTCCAAGAGCACCCTAGGCTTGAACTTTGTCACACTTTATTCCAAATGAATTCACTCCCCCCAGAAGATCTGTGGATCTCTGTGTTCTTAAGGCCTAGCACATCCTCTAGACAGAATCTGAGTGTCACTCTTCCAGAGCTGGTGTAGGGACAACAGCCTGCTTTTCTCTGAATGACACCTCGGGTCTATATGAGAGTTGCTGTCCCAGGGTGGTAGCACTTTGTCTTCTTGGCTTCCCTTTCTCAGAATAGAACCTCCAGCCTATAAATGAGTGGTGAGGGTGAATGGAGCCAGAACGCTGCCTATTAGCAGAGATTGGTTGAGGAAAAGAGCTCCTGCAAAGGGGCATAGTGGGGATTAGATATGCTGGGGGGTCTGTTCTTGCCTGGAAGAACCACAACCCTAGATTTGGAGCTGTACTTTGTGATTTTTTTATTATGTGCTTAACTATCTTGGAACATTATTTCTGGAAAGTTGAAGACAGGCCCTTTGGGGAATGCTTTACAATTGATTCTGAAAGATAGTAGGAGAAAGGACAAGTTGGGGACCTCTTTAAAAGGCCTGACCCGTCTTCTTGACCATACTCGCCCAGAGTAGAGCTTCCATTTTACTGAGCTTCGAGGTGGTAGGGAAGAGGTGGTACCAGTTAAGGGAGCCTGTTATGGTTCCGGTGCCACAAATTCTCTCTGTTCTTACTGAGCTTTGGTAAGTTTTCCTAAGAAAAATCTCTCTATATATGTATATGCACTTAGGACAGAGACTTTTAAATAGTTAAATTTTACAGATTTCACCAGTTATGATTGTTTGGGGACAAGATCCTTAGATAGCTTCATACTGCCATTCTAGAAATGGTTCCCTTGTGTCACTTAAAACTGTGTGGATTTTTCTAAGTCTTTATTACTGGTTTAGAATCCAAACATGCTTTGGGGATAGGCTTTATTCACGGGCACAGCAATCTGGTAAGGACTGTTACATGTAGACTCACATCAAATGGCACATGGGGACAACTTGTGTTTCTAGCAGTTTAGTTGGTCATCAGAAGACCCTCCCACTAAAGAAAACTAAATTGTATAATGAGTTATTGTTACGAATATTTTTAGTCACATCAAAAACTAAAATAATTAGTAGAATACACAGATATCAATAATGAAGTAAAAGAGGCAGCCCAGAGAATTGAGTAGCACATTGAAGATGTGTTTTTCTCTTAAGGACATTTGATGAATCAGGAACTTGAGCATCAGTTCTCAGAAGCTCCTACAACCTGAGTGATACACAAAAGTCCAGAGCCCACCTGCCGTACCTAATGGGAGGCCATCCCTCTATACTTCTGAAACACCAAAAGGCCAAGCTTTTAGTGGAAGAGAAACAAGAAATATTCCCCTTTAGGAAACGATACAGAAGAAAAATCTGTGTCGAGTACAACAAGGAGAGTATCTCCCTGAGAATTATTACAGGGCATGAGCTTGCAACCCAACTTTATCTGGGTGGTCAAAAATCCTCAAGCCTTTTAAAGAGGTCCCCAGCTTGTCCTTTCCTCTAGGACCTTTCAGAATCAAATGTAAAGCATCCTCAAAAGGGCCTGTCTTCAACCCAAGCCTCAAAGATTTCCCAGAAATAATGTTCTAAGAGAGTTAACTCAGAATAAAAACATCACAATGCACACATGTAAACCATGGACTGAGAGTAAGAAGGAACATAGTTAGACATCATATTCATAGCCACCAAGACCTCAGATGGTGGAATTATTAGCATGCAACAGAAAAAGAAGGTACAATTAATACCATCTTAAAGGATTTGAAAATGAAAAAGCAATTATGAAAAATAACCACACATTGATAAACTTCAGAAGTGAGAAACTGATCAAAATGTAAAATTTAATGGACATATAAGCATATTAGATAACACTGAGTGAATTTGATGGGTAAATGTTGATGAAATACATTTATCTTTGGCTGTTCTAGGTTGACAGTTTATTTATCTCGGCATACTACTACACTCTGCCTTCCATTATTAATACTGACATGCCAGGTATTAGATGGCTAATTGTGTTCCTTTGAGGGTTGTTTTGTTTTGGTTTTGCCTGGCCATTTTAAAGACATTTTTGTCATCTTTGGTGTTCTGCATCTTTCACTATGGTACATCCACGATTTGTTTTATTTTCTCTGCTTGGAATTCATTGTGATCTTTGAATATGTGGATGGGGGGGTGAGAGGGTACCAGTCCTGGAAAGTTCTTGGTCACTAACTTTTCTGATATTACTCCTCATTCTCTTTTTTTCCCTCAGGAACTTCAGCTAGACACATTAGATCTATTCCATATCATTTGATCACCCATATTTTCTGTTTCTCACTTAGGTGTAAATCTCCACAAATCTGTCTTCCAGCTCACCAAATTCTTTCTTCATATTGAAGCCCAAGAATTATTGTTAATTTTGTTATGCACAAGTTTTTGGTTTTAAAACAAACAGTCCATAATTTTTAGAACTGTAATATGAAGTATGTGTCAGTGAGGTGATGTAAGGTCTAAAATGTACCTTAAAATACACTTATAAAGAGGGTTAGATGGGTTCTTGAGCATTGCAGAGCGTGGATGTTGATCTATAGGATTTTGTTTTATTACTGTCTCTGCTGTTATGTTTGAAAAGTCTCATAATATAAGAGGACCAGAAACATTGACTTGGATTTATAAAATTTTCTTTAAATTTTTTCTTAAATAAAAACAATATAAGGTGTCAGAAGTCAGTGCCTTTCACGAACAGAAATCTGACAAGGTGGGGAATTCATTTTTTTAAGAATCTGATTTGACTTCATCCAAAAGGAACCACAAACAAGGTGCATTTCAAGCAGTGCTTTGTGGTCTCTGAAGGCAGCGCAGGGGTGAGTTCTTCTGGGCAGGAGCATTTGGGCTATCCTAGATGCTAGATGGAAAGGATGTCCACATGCTCAGCATTTCACAGCTAGAAATGGACCAAGTGCTGCTTCCCTGACCCCACTAGGTACTGGGGATTGAACCCAGAAGCACTTTACCACTAAGCTACATCTCCAGTACTTTTTTTCTTTGAAACAGGGTTTCAATAAGTTGCTAAGGCTGTCCTCAAACGTACAGTCCTCTTGCCTTAGCCTCCTGAATCACTGGGATTACAGGTGTGTACCACTACACCCAGCCCAAGTGCTTCTTTTAGCAGCTGTCGGAATCAAGTTTAGCCAGATGTCCATCACCATAAGGCAAAACACTGTCTGTGATAAAGGTCAGCAGATTGTAAACCCATACAAATGTAAGGCACTTTTCATTTTGAGAAGCAATCATAAGTGCAAAAGGAAGTTACTCTGGAAAACCACTTTGGGAAACCATTTTGGGGGTAAAAAAAAAAAAATTGGAAAGCCACCTTGAAAAATATTGGGTAGTTCCTCGAAATGTTAAAAACAGGTTTATCATATGACCCAGAATTTCCAATCCTAGGTATATACTCAAGAATTAAAACCATGTGTGCCTACATAAAAAGTTGAAATCAAATATTCACAGCATCATTATTTACAATGCTCAAAAGTGGAAACAACCCAAAGGTCCACAACTGAAGAATGGATGAACAAGGTATAAAGCTATTCACATAATGAATGTAAGTCAGCAGCAAAAAGTGAATGAGGTACTGGTACATGTCACCACAGAGACAAACCTTGAAAACACTATGCTTAGTGAAAGAAGTTAATCATAAAAGATCGCATATCCGTAGGGTAAGAAAGCCAAGAATTGCCATTTGACTCCCCCATCTCTGCCCCTTTTTTGTGACATTAATTTTCAGGCTCATTGACAAGGAAGCTAAGGGGACAGAGACTGTTTAAAGTGGGGATGATGGAAGATCATGCAAATGACAGGCCTCCCAGTCACAAAGGTTTCCCTACTACCCAGCAGCGAACATGTTCACTGCATTGGCAAGAGAGCAGCTATGAGCTATGATGATCTCTTTAATCACCAGATCTAATGTCAAAATTGCTATGCATATAATCCCATTGTCTCTCACCCAAAAAACACAAAGGAGATTGTGGATTTCTGATGACGAAGTGACTCCTCGTTTTCTGTGATGAAGGCAGACTGCTTCCCAGGACAGCTAGCTTGCACTCATCTGTGCTTTTTCTCTCCCTTTTCTCCTCTGTTTTTCAGTGGCTGCTTCAACCCCCAACTCCACTGCTGGTGCAGCCATGAATTCCTTGACCTCTCTTGGGACTCTGCAAGGACTGGCTGGAGCCACTGTTGGACTGAATAATATTAATGCACTAGCAGGTACCATAAACAGTGAGTATTTGCTGCTCTGGTGGACAGCCTTCCCCCAAATTCTCCACAGAAAATGGCCATCCAGAAATGACCTAAAAAGGATATGGAATGGGGAGAACTAAAACTTGGGATGGAGGAGCACATGCTTTGACAGGCCAAAGCTATCTACATTCATTGTATCTCAAAAAATGCCCAGCCCCTTCCCACCCCCAGATTCTTTGTACCGGCTACTGTAAGTCCTCACCCATAGTGGGGTTGACAGATCTTTTCAGCTTTCAAGGAGTTTGTCTGGGTTTTGACTTTCTCCTGCTGCGAGGCAATATGTAATAATAGAAAATTAGGCTGAGACGCTGTGTCCAGCTCTGCTGCCCATCAATTGTAGGAACTCAGGCCAACCACAGCTCCCTCTCTGGGCTTCAGAGTCTCCATTTGGAAAAAAAAAAAAGAAAGTTCTGGATAAGAAGATCTTAAAGGTGCCCTCCAGGTTGAAAATCCAAATAGTATTTACAATTACACAGGGGGGAAATGAGGTCTCTAAAGGAAAAGAAACTGAGTAGAGGAGAGGTGCTGCTGGAAAGAGCATCATCTGGAATCTTCATCGAGCACCTGTGGGCATGGGTCACTGTACAGCAGTGACTGTATAAATTAGGGGCATCATTTCACTGTAAGGGGGTGAAACAGGTTTGGAGGCAAATAGCTTACCAAAATATACTTGGTTCTGAAACACATGGACTCACTAAGAAATTCTAGGATCTATGCTCTGTAGCCCACCTGTCCTTGTTCCTGCCTGTCCATTTTGGATCCATGAGAGGAGTGTTGCCCAGGCCTGAGGTTAAGTCATATTTTAGGCTTGTGCCTGGCATTGGGGTCTTGCACTGGGGAAGCTGATCCTCAGCGCACAGAGGGAATGCCTGATTTGCCTGTCTCTCCATTCCATTCAGTCACCTTGGGGCCTGAAAGTAGCCAAGCCTAGGAGGTCCATGACAGCCAACAGAGCTTTCTGAGGAATTTCAGACCTACGTACCTATCAGAGACCCCAGACAACCTAATACCTGCCCATTTTGGTTTTTTAATAAAAAAGGTATTCATTATTTGCCCTACTTTAATCTATGATTCAATAAGTAAACTGTTTTTAAAGGGTGATCAGACCGTACAATTTTTTAAGCCAAAAATTCCAACAATTTTATACTTCGAAAGCTCAAAAACACCATGCAGTTTGTTTGGTTTAAAAAAAAAAAAGTCTGAAATTCATCCATATGCAAATTAACCTGATAAGAAAATAAATCACATGTTTAGAAGTAGGAAATGTTCAGGTTTCATTAAAGCCTTTAATTCAGATGCTCTGAGAAAAGAAAAACTTGGAATGAGTTTTGTCTGAGCACAAGAAAACATTTTCCTTCCAAATGTGATGGCTCTCAGTTAGCACAGAGTACATGACGTGACCATCTGACCACCAGAATGTTTCATTCCAGTTAGAACTGTCTCCAGCCTTGCCGCTCTCCAGCAGCTGAGCAGGAGCCCCACTGCCTTGCCTCCTGTTTCTGGTACAGCTCCTCTCTGCCCCATCCTACAGAAGCACCAGCCCACTGTCCTCACATAGGCTGAGGACGTGTTCGCACATCCCCTCATGCTGCTTCTCTTGCCCCAGGACCTAGTTCCCCTCAAACAAGGACTTTGATTTGATCGCCTGCCTGTCCTTGGTCTGCAGAGTAACAGGCCAGTGGGAATGGTTGTCCTCCTCAGCACGTGCTCATGACTGCTGTGTGTGTGTCCTCTCGTCTGTGTCCTGCTCCCCTCCACCCTACTCTGTTGTATGTTGCTGGGCTTTCCCCATCGTTATCATGAGGACACGAGAGAGACTTTGTTGAATGCCAAAGAAATCACGGCTAGTTCTTGTGTGGAGTCTTATGTTATACCGAGTCTGCTCTGGCAAGGACAACAGGTTGAAATCATTTTGCTTCTCTGAATTCTTTGCCGTTGGGTTAAAAGAGTATGTTCCGTTCATGGGAAATGAAGAATGTTTTTGGTTTCTAATAACCCCTACTGGTCAGTATAAACCAGGAAAATGTTTAATTCAACCAAAACTCGGGCACAAATGGAAAGATACATTCCTTCTCATTCAATTAGTATTACTAGTACAGAGCTCTTTTACACTCTCAACTTTGGCTTGGAACTAATAATTGCTGCTTGTCTCAAATTAAATATCTAGAGAAAACCTTCTACAATAGAATATCCCCTTTCAGATCATTCTTCCTCAACAGAAATGACAGTGCTATCTGTTCTACAGGATAAGTCTCAAAGCAGGCAATCAAGGAATGGTCACCTGAACAGTGACCTTCTAAAACAGTTGACCTTAGCTTCCAGGTCATTGCTCTTTTCTACCCACTCTGTCCCAGGAGCCATTACATGCTACCTTGAGGAGAGTATTCTGGTTTTCTGAATACACCCATCTCTTCTATGGTCAAAGCAGCCAGCAAGAGAATAGGTGGCTGACTCAGCTTGGCCTAGATTTGACCCTCCTCCCTGCCAGAGGCCCCACCACTGCCTTAGGAGGACTCTTCCCTTAGCAGATAAGTAGCTAAATTAAACTGTTCAAATTTGATAGCCTTTTTCTTCCCTTATACTTTAATGAATGGAGGGGCTTAAAAAATTTCTTTAGGGAAAGATAAAAAAGCAGAAATCGGCAAGATCAGAAGAAGTAACATAGAACAATGTATAACAAAGATACAGAATAACAGTAGGTACCTCTACATCGCAGATACATCCACCCAAGTCTGTACCTGATTTGGTATGTTTAAATGTAAGTCAAGTGGCATCCTTACTTTTCCTGTTTAAATTGCATAATTCTTCCAAATGACTTACTATACAGTGCTTAACATTATGATTGTTTGAATATAACAGCCACGAATTCCTGGTGGAAAATATTTATGGAACTATTTTACGTAAAGTACAGAAAAGAGAAGATGCTTTGGACACATTATTGTAGCTTGTCATTCGTTATTTGCATTGCAAAATTACTGTTTGAATATGTGTAATTGGAATTTACAAGGATGTATGCGGTTAGATACACACACAAGCACACATAGTCCACACACATTTGTAACCTTTTAACACAGGCATATAGGAAAGTGCCACTAACTGTATGCACATCCATATCCATTTCCCTGGTTCCAAACACTTTTATTTAGGTTCTCACTCACTAGCTTAGACTAGATTTAGAAGGATAAATCCCATCTGTACTAAGGAAGCTTATCCCAGTGAATCGGTTACAAACCTATGAGAACACCCTAATACATTCCTCACTTCTTATTTAAAATCTGGCTGAGTAGCTTGGAAAAAAGTGGAGTCTACCTCTGAATCTACTTTCCAGGACCATATCTTCATGTTCATATTTAAGGGAATGTCTGTGTCATTTAAAAAGATTGACTCAGTAAGCTCACAGCTTCTTGGTCTCTGTCAGTTGAGGACTAAATGTGAAGCACTTGGTTATCAGGCTGTATAACCCCATACTGACCACCAGTTCCAGAGACCTCCCTTGCAGAGGCTTCTACCCCAGTTATTTGCTTCCAGCTCTGCTCATCCAAATAGTAAGCAGAACGATCTAGATTAAATGGGAGGAAATTGTCAATCCATTTGGCCTTTTCAAAAAAGCCCCTTATTCTTTTTAAGTGGAGCATTTTATTCAACTTAACTTTCTTTAGACCTCCGTTTCTATTGTCTAGGACTTTGAGAGGTCATCAGGTACAAGCAGCTGGGCTAACTAATTGTATCTTTATATAGTGAGTATTTAATACAGAAGAATGTTAGTTAATTCACAGGAACTACTCTCAAAAGTCGAAATCTTCCTTTGATGGCTCTTCAAACTCTACCATATAATCCATTATTGTATCCAGGATTTGTCAAAAAAACCCCATCCCAGTTTTCTAAGATAGTTTCGGGGTTAGGTATTCTCAATGAATTTGTACTTGTTAGAGCTCTGACCCATTTTTTTTTTCCAGAAAGATGGTGATCTTTCATAGAGGAGCAAGCTCTGGGCTAGAGAGGCCAAACCCTCCCTCCGTTATCTGCACAGGTTCCTCACTAGTCCCTCCTTGGGCATTTATACCCTGTCACTTTGGTCCTCCTCTGTCAGCCCACTCCTCCCCCTTGTCCAGAGGGCGACCACTATCACTGTCTCCCATACATGTGGTACCCACAGAGGCAAACAAAACTCTGCAGAAGGCAGGTTTTCCCAGGCTATAATCTAAAAAAACAGCCAACCATAGTGAAGTATAACCAGGAAGAACAGAGGACATGGCTAGAATGTCAGTTGCTAGAGCCTCAAACCTCACAAGGCTTCTATGTAGTCCTGAAACATCCTTCCATCATTTCAAGAGCATGAAGTTCATTTTGTTTTAAGAGGGAAAAAAAAGTTTGGTCAAAAGAGCAAAAGAGTTCAAAGTAAAAAATAAGAGACTCCTGACCCGCAAAATAAGAAAGGCTACATCCAGAGGGAAGGGGGTTGGAGTTTGGGGTACCAGTGACAACTGCAGTAAGATGTCATCTGTGTGTCTGACAGAGGGGAGAAGCCATGCTGCAGGGCTGTAGACCACAGGAAGTCACGCATGGGGTGTGTGTGGCAAGGCCCTGGAACTCCAAGGCCCTTGTCTGACAAGCTACCAAGGAGATGGGGTGCTCTCGCCCATTCACGGAGTGGCAGGGACATATGGAGATATTAGAGTGGAGCCGAGGCCTTCATCCATGCTACACAGAGCTCCCAGGTTTCTAGGTTCTTCAACAGTGTTTATTTGCATGACCAGAAAGAGAACAGACTCCTTCACAGGAAGAATTTAAAGCAGATCCAGCAGGACCTCTGCTGGCCACCACCTTTGTTCAGCTGCATCTGCTTGTGACCACTTCTTTCTCAGGGAGCTGTTATTCCATTCTCAACCTTTCAAGCTTATCTTGCCTCCTCCACATCCTTCTTTGAGGATAATGTATCCCATTACCACCTTCCAAGGCCTAGTTCTGTCTCCTCAAGCCCCCCAGTAGGAATCACAGACCTGAGGAGCTACGAGAGTCCTCTACCATTAAGCCATGGTCCAATCATATCTTGCATGTTGTCCTTTTCATCTAAGAGATGAAGTTGGCAAAATATCAGAAGCACTTATGGGGTAAACAGGATACTCCCCACCTGCTCTATTTCCTGTGGATGGCAAGCAGTAGCATTGATAGGGGTGTTCTTTGATGCCGCAGTATACATTTGCAAGCATCCTACCTTAGCTGTCCTGTTCTCATTAGACTTCTATCAATTTTTTCCAGTTATTCATCCATGTTATTTTAATATCTCTAATCAATAACTCTAATCCCATCAAGATTTTCATTAATGTTTTTCTCAGAAACAGATCTTTAAAAAAAAAAAAAACTTTTTGATCATCAAGGGAACTAAAGGCAATTGTGATGTCACCTCTTCCATTTCCTGAGTTCATAAGAATGTTGACACTCTATGAAGCATTGCTTGTTCTGACTCATTACTCAGGGAAAATATGATACAATCAACAACTAGAATAGAGCAGCCAGCATGCAAGGACAAATACAAAAGAGCTACTGGTCAATATTCAGTTCCCATCAGTTAATAGCCAGGATCCAGTTTACAAACACTGTGTCACTGCTGGCTGGAAAACATGACATGAAGCACCATCACTAGCAGAAACCCCGGTTACCTGGGCATTGATTAATATGCATGTGTGCACACACATGTAGGCAATCAGCATTTGCTGATAAAAACCACACCAAGAGTCTTGGTTAATTGAATAAGTTGCCTGAGTTCTCTGCAATATGGAAAGAACCCATCCTTTTGTTCTTTGATTATAAATTAGCTAGGCTGTTTACCTTATTCCTAAGACCCTAGGCCATGACCACGTCCTTCAATCGTTTAGGAAAGCCAGTTAATGGAACTGCTGACTCACTGGTTTACAGAGCACAAAACTCGTCTGCTCTGCCATCTCATCAGACAGCTTAAAGGGAAAAAGTTTTATTTTATCTTTGCCCCCTCAACCCCTTGAGCCATCCCCTGGCTCCTCAAAGAGCCCAGTAAATAGATTTAAGTGTACAGATGTTACAGGCCTCTGCCACTAATGTGTTTTTACATGCTTCTAAGCTCTAAGAAGCAGAAGGGCTTTTATTTCAGAAAGATAACAATGGTACTTGCCAGTAGCACACTGCATGGAATTAAGATGTACTGTCTAACTGTAGTGCCTCGATGAACTTTGATCACTGGCCTAGGGAGACAGAGCTATCATTGCTTAGGTGTTCCCCCACCATTATTGTGATTTATTTCTTCATAGTTTCGTTTCTGATTTTGTTGGTTTAATTGGTGTGCTGGCTGCATGCACTTGCTGTTGTACTTGTGTCAAATGATTCTCGAACTTCCTTTGGAAAGCACTAATGAATAAGTGCTATTTCTCTTCTCTATTGTTGGGTTTTTTGTAAAGTTGCTCAAATGCTCTCAGGTATGGCGGCTCTGAATGGAGGACTTGGCGCCACAGGCTTGACGAATGGCACGGCTGGCACCATGGACGCCCTCACCCAGGCCTACTCAGGAATCCAGCAGTATGCGGCAGCCGCGCTGCCCACGCTGTACAGCCAGAGCTTGCTGCAACAGCAGAGCGCTGCAGGCAGCCAGAAGGAAGGTAGGTGCCTGCCCTGGGCGGGCCTGGTGGGCCCAGCCCTACCCACACTTGCCTTTAGAGCACGGCTTAGAAGATGTGGAATGGAACAGGTGTCGTAAGGAAAGCACTTGCTTTTTGCTAATATTTACATTTTTAAAAAATGGCCCTGGGCTGGGGATATAGCTTAGTTGGTGCTTCCCTCGAATGCACAAGGCCCTGGGTTCAATCACCAGAACCAAAAAAAAAAAAAAGCCAGCCTAAGACTTTCTATCAGTCTTCTCTTCTGTTCATCTTATATTTATCTTTCAGTTTTTCATCCATCTCTTAAGATGAACTTCTACCCATTGGGCATTTAAATGTACTTATTCATTGCTGCCATAAAATAATTCCCAGATCAGTACAGACCATGAGTTTCTCCCTTTAGGAGAAGCTGCTCATTAGCAGAAGGGGATGAATGGACACAGGCTTGTGCCAGAGCCCCAGGTTTGCAGCATCCACTCACTCTGTAATTGTGTGGCTGCCTCTCAGTAGGCGACAATTCTCAGGCTAATGATAAAATCCACCATTAGGATCGACTTGGTCTTTGTTTAATTGGGGGTCTTTGGGGAAAGCAAGTAAGTGACTGATTGCCTTGCTTCTGAGGCAAAATAAACTTCAAGAAGTTAATGCTAAGAATAAATTAAAGCTAATTATAAGATGGCTAATGACCTAGTCCAAATAAGGATAGTTTGTCATTCTTCCTTTTGATTTCTTCTTCCTTAATTGAAGTTGATATAAAGCAGAATCATCAACATGCTATTTATCTTCTTTCTTCCTTATTTAGAATGTGAGAAAAGAAGCTAGAATAGGGAAATAATAAAGAAGATTTTTAAAAATTCCTTTCTCCCTTTCCCTTACTCTGTTGTTCCAAAAGGCTTCTGTCTGAATACTCTGACTTTAAGCATGGTGTTCTATAAGAATTAGAAAAGTTTTACTTAGTAAATTTGTGATTTTTAAGAGGACACAGCTTAAAAGATACCCATGTGTTTAAAAAAAAAAGAATAAGGTTTTCCCCTTTGATAAATAACCATAGAGATCATTAAATATGAAAGATACGATAGTCTAAGTTCATCACTTCAGCTTTCTCTCTGCTCTCGCTGTATCTGTGATTACAGCTTTTTTAACATACACACTGCTGGATGTGAAAGGGACTCTTGTCATGAGCACCAGAGGTCTCCCCCAAGAAAAGCTGTTTACTTGGTCCCTTTGGGGTCTATCACGGTGACAGATGTGGACAGCAGGAGGGATCCTGTAAGATAATGTTATCCTCAGACAAAGAACATAAAACTAGTTTCCCCCACGTGGCTTTAGAGAATCCTGGTCACCTCTCCATTATCTAACAGGCCTTAGAACAAACCACATAGCTTGTGTCACTGAGAAAAATGTCCTCATCAAGACTCAAAATTCAGTGGTTTAAGGATAAAGCCTGGACCCTGAAGTAAAGTTTTTCTGAACTATCTCACCCTAGCCCACTGCCCTAAGTTGGTTTGCCTTAAGTTTTAGGGATTTGTAAAACAAATCAAAATAACTTTGCTAACTTTAGGTACATGGGCTCTCGGCATGGTTGAGAGTTCTTATCTGTGGTGGTAGTGGTGGTAGGTTTCCATTTGTCCAGTTTTTTGTTTTGTTTTTCCATCACCCCACACTTTATCATACCTGAGCAATTAGTAAGACCCTGTCTCAAAACAAAAAAATAAAAGGGCTGGAGATCTGACTCAGTGGTAGAGTCAGATCTGGGTTCAATCCCCAGTACCACAGAAAAAGGGAGAGGGGATTATACAGGATGAGGAAAAAAAACACAATACTACTACATAATTCCAATACTAAATAGATTTTTAGATTTCCTACTCCATAGTTCTGTCCTTCAGTCAAAAGAAATGAGAGGCAACTTGATGTATTTAGTCCTGAACCCTAATATATTTTTCCCATGGTAAAATAATTTTAAATAATCTTTGCCCCAGTTAAATCTTCTGAGGGATTATGGGGTCCCTATGGATGTTAAGTGCAGAAAAGCTCATCACCTTTCTTGCCATTCCTAAACATCCTCTGACCACTCTCACACCTTTCCATATTCTGTCCTTGTAGGCGGCAAGTCATACACACACGAGTAGTTACAGCCTACAGCCTTTAAGTACCCCAGCAAGTACTGGTGGTCTGTGCTTGTCAGGTGCCCTGTGAGAAATAAGGACTACAAACATCTCAACCAGCTGGAGCCAGTGAATATAACATAGATAACTCTCCCATGTTAAAATGCCATGGAAGAGAGAAATGGGACAAAACAGAGATTTGCAGATGGTAGACAGGTTTTTATTACTTCTAGGGGTAAAGAAGATGATGAGTTTCAAGTGAAATCCTTAAAAAAATATATATTTAGTTATTTTGGTACCAGATGCCTGCCTCAGTTGCAAACAAGGGTGGTTTTCATATGAAATTATTTGGGGGGGGGGGGCCGGGGATATAGCTCAGTTGGTAGAGTGCTTGCCTTGCATGCACAAGGCTATGAGTTCAATCCCCAGCACCAAAAAAATAATAATAATACTTTTTGCTCATTTTTATGATAAAAATTTGGGGGTGGGGGGAGAAACCAAACTTTTTCTTGGTGATTAAAAAACAAACAAAAAGAAACAGCACTGAAAGGGAGACAAATCAGAATATGTTAACACTTTTTTCTTGAGAAAATAAGCAAAGATCAGAGCCTCCTTTTGTTTGTCCAGCTGTCCCTGAGAGCCAAGGGTGGAGCTCAGCAGAACAGCACTTGCTTAGCCTGCACAAGTCCTGGGCTCAGTCCTCGGCACTACAAGAAGAACAAGACCCAGCCGTCTCAGTACTTCCATGGCCTCCATCTCTGGCATGGATACATTCTGAGTGCACACATTCTCGAATGCCAGCATTGCTGAGACATACCTAGGAACCTATCTTGGGCGTTCAAGTTGCATTTCCTCCCCAGGTTTCCGGAGGCCATGCACCTTACAGGTCAAATCAGATCCCATTAATCTTCATTTGTGCATTTGGATCTTTTATTGGAAGGAACATTAAATGTGGTATCAGATCTGTGCCCATTGCAAAGGATGTGCATGGCACAGCAGCACTCAGAACACCCACTCTCCAGAGTTTTGGGTTTTGCACCTATTCAGAAAACATTTGAGGGTCTACAGTTGTGTCCCTTCAAAGTACAGGCTGTCTCCCTTGCTCTGTAATATTAATATATCCATAGAATTCGTGAGCAGTGCAGAAAGTTAAAGTGGCCACAGAGATACATTTCTAAATAAGAAGAAATACCTCATCTGGGGCTTCAGGAATTGGCCTCAAGAAGTCTTCCTTGTGAAAAGTCCCATTCATTGGGATGCTTTTTTTCTTTTATGATTTATTTTGTGGGGGCAGGAGAAGAAACTTGTTGGATGTCTCTTTGCAATGATGTTTATCCATTTATTTTTTCAAAGTTCTTTTTATCCCAATTTTTTTTCAGCCCAAACACACAAATACCCTTCCCCTCTACCTAGGGAACCACTGCAGTCTGTTCCCTGCAGCTTCACAAAGAGGGCAGGCAGGCCTGGCTCCTCTCCTGTGAAAGCCAGCTGCAGCCATGAACCAGCTGCAGAAGTTACTCAACTGATTCTGTGAGCTCCCTCCTATCCCAGACACCCTGCCTGGATGTCCAAGAGCCACCCAGTCCTTCTTCTCCTTGCAGCTCATTGGGTTTCCTTCTTTTTCCTCTTTTAATTTTTGGACAGCTCTCCTACAGGTGGGTAGAAGGTTCAGAGAGGGAAACGGACAGGAACATAACAGCTCTCCCCTCCAACCTGCAGAGCTGAGAAGGTCTTCCCTGTTCCACCCTTGTTTCTGGTATTAGCTGGAAAAGGATGAGTACAAGGGAAGAGCTTGACTTAGCTCAGGTTTGAGAAGCTTCTACATCCATTTCCAGGGCTTACCTGGGGTTGTAATTCCTATCAAATTCCTATCAAAGTTGTGAGACTCTAGCTACCATTTCCCCCCCGTCCTGTTGACTCATTGCCAGTCATTTCTAATAAAGATGGTTATTATACTCTGTGTTAAGATATTTGGCAAATCAAGACTGGCTGGGTAACCAGGTAAACTACTGATAAATCCAGGCAGTGTTACTGCTATATTGATGATTCTAAATCACTGCACTTGGCATTGGCTACCCAGCACACACTCCCCTTCCCTGTGAGACAGTCGACCACACCCGATAGGAAACTCAGCCCCCAGAAAAACCCATGCCTAGATTCTCTGCCCTGTCCTGCCCACACCACCTTCACTCCATGAAAAGGAAAAGCAAATGTGTGCTGATGTGTGTACACGTGACCCCAGAAAACCATCTGATGAGGAAGCTACTTAACAGCCAGTGTCTACTTGGAAATTAGAAAAATGTGAAGGGTGAGTGTTTTCCTGAAAGACATGTCAGTGCTTGACATTTATCCATCTGTTTATTCTTTTATAAGAAAAAGCCAAATGACTTAGCCTTCCTGTTGTTAAAGGATTCCTAAGAAGAGGCTTTGGGAACTAAGACTCAAAGGATACCTTACTCTGATTTTTTCTTCTTCTTTAGGTCCAGAGGGGGCAAACCTCTTTATTTACCACCTTCCACAGGAGTTTGGAGACCAGGACATTCTGCAGATGTTCATGCCTTTTGGAAATGTTATCTCTGCTAAAGTCTTCATTGACAAACAGACCAATCTGAGCAAGTGCTTTGGTATGCAAAAGAAACCAAGCTAGACTATTATAGTAGACTCCCCCAAGTGAGGAGTCATGGGAAGGAAAATGTGAAAGACAGCTATTTTTGGAGTCAGGATAGGGCCTTCGTGTATGGTGGTATTTCCTGATTTTTCTGGATGCATGTAAGCAGATTTGGGCAAAGTTCTTTAGTGAAAACAAAGGGGAAGGGGCTATATAAAAAGGATCTAGGAAATTTCCTTATATTGGTAACACCATATGCCATAGTGTATTACTATACATCCCTAATAATCTTTTGTTGTAGAGCAATACCCATTTCTTCAGGCCCTTCAGATGGAAGCATGAACTTTCATCAGATGGAAACAGAGATTGCAGTTTAGTCTCTACTGGTGTACAGTAGAACTGCAGACACTGCCAGTGGCTCCTTACACCTTCAGGTTTAATGACTCAGACACCGAGGCATGGGTCACACTGTTAAGTACACACACAAACAGCCAGAAATACACACACATTCACAAGCAGGGATGCCAGGCTGCCGTCACACTGCAGCTCCACATGCACAGGATGAGCAATTGATGTATCTCATGCTTACACAGAACACTGTGTTATGAGGCATTGGAGGGCCAGAATTTGGGATTATAAGACTGGCAGGAGCTAAGTGGGTGGGTATGGAGCCAGAGAGGGTGCATGTGTTATCCAGACACTGGAAACCCGGCTTCTTAGCACACCTAGTTTTCACATCATCTCTCCTCAAGCAGCATGGCCTCTGCGTCCTGTGGCATTTTTGGCTCCCTAGGAGTGTGAGGAAAACTCACAATGTGCACTTGTGTTTACAACAGGAGGACAGTATTTGTTTAATCCATTCATTGTTTTATTTCTCAAATCTTGCTGGCCCCCAAAGTAGTTTAGAGGCCAGGTGTTCACAGCATCTATTGCTCATCTGGCAGGCTCTGACCCCAGTTTGAGATTAGAGCATTTGCTTTACTCATGCCTGCAACTAAATAATTTATGTTGGTCACAGGCAATAACAGTAGCATAAAACAAGATCGGATAGATATGAGCCAGAAGAAACAGAACTGGGTGTCTGTCGGCAAAGAGGGAGGGTGGTTCTCAAATACCTTCAAGTTCACACCAGTTTGGTTGACTGGTAGTGGGTAACCAGGCCAAGGAGAACATCATGGATCCTAAAACTACATTATCATAATGCCTAATTCCTGGCATCACCCAGGAAGGTCAGCCTCTGCTGCCGGGGAATTAGCACGTCAACCATTTCAAGCCACTGTCTTTACCGCAGTGGAAAGGCTGCTGCTGTGCTAACTATATGAACCCCTTCATAGTGGTTCATGAGAGGGAAATGGAAGTTGAGCTGTTTCTTGGGGGGCTTTGGGGGCCAGAGTTTACCTGTGGGAGGCTTCCCCACACAAGGTTTTGAAGCCAATGTTTACATTTTTCACAGGTGAGCAATGTTCTAGGCTCATATGGAGACTAGAAAGGGACTATGCATTATCAATTTGAGAAAATATGTACTACCTTGAAAAGATATCAGTCCACAAACTACTTAACCAGTGTGTTCATAATGGTACAAGTTATAGCCGTAACTATATTCCTGTGAACTAAAAGCCATAGCATCCCAGGCCTCCTGGCAGCCAGCCTAAGTTCTTGGGGACCCAATTGGCTAAATTCTGAGTCATAAGATAGCCCATTCTTTTGTTCGTACCTCTTGGCTGGGTTTTGGTATCCATATCTTGACCCATTTCCATTCTTTAAGCATCTTGCTAGTTCAGGATAAAGACCCTGAGAGAGAGGAGAGGGTAAAGTCAGAGCAAAAATCTTAGATTTGAGATCACATTTTATTGGGAATTAGATGTAATACTAATGTAAGCAGCCATTTTTGCAAGGCAGCCTGCCTGCGAAAAGCTTTTCTGCTGTATGACCATTTTTATTAAGTGAGGAGAGAACGTTGCTCAACGAGTATTTATGTCCTTTGCTTCCTCTTCTGGTTTATAAAGGAATTTTCTCTTTAGCCTTAAACTTTCACAGTAAATAGATGGTGGCTCTTAGTATAGAACCTTCTGAACAGCTGATGTTCAGAACTGAAATTAAATCTATACAACAGCTTCCTTTCAACTCTAAAGCCAGTAGGAACTATAAGAGCTTACTACTTGCCTCAGCTTAACTAATGCTTTGCCTGTACCCCTACCTTGGCCTCACCCCGCAGTGTTAGAATAAAGTAGGATCAGAATTCTGTTTCAGGGCCTCTGCAGAGCATCATGGGTCCTTTTTCAAAAACAGAGGATGTTGCTATAAACAAACATACTGGGAATTCTGTTGAGAAGGTTGTCCTAAGCTCTTTAGACCATTTATTCCTCAAGACTTTGAGAGATGCAAGGTAGCAATTTCCTTCTAGTTGAATTTTTTCTGAAGTTCTGCAAATGGAAACCAAGCTGAGGGGAAAGGCCCAGCATTTCCTTGGGTTCTTCTCAGAAATTACTCCAAAACATTAAAAATTAAGTATAAATTATCTAATTCTGTAGTTGACTCATCCTCTAGCTAAACAGGTGTGGGCGCTGACCACAACTCTAGGGCCTAGTCTCTATGTGCTGCACTGCAGGGAGTTGGTGACCCCTCCCTCTACCCTGCCTTTCAGCCTCACCAGTCAGGACAGGTAAGCTACTGGGGCCCTTGAAGCCCTGGAATATTTGTACCACTGCTTACATGAGTGAGGCTTATCCACCTGCAGGTCTTCCAGAGGGATTCTAAAAGATTCGAAACAGATTTGACTTGAAGGCAGTAAATAAGGAGACTAAATTCACTTAAACAACAGTTGCATTTTAGTTTTCTAAGGCAGGGTTTTGCCTTGTGTACCTAATTACAAGTCCAGCTACCTTTTTTTACTACTTCTCAGTGGACATTTCCAGCATCGTCCGACCCTCAGACATGCCCTGGACACTCATGGCACACAATAAACTGAGCACTGAGCTCAAGGCCGGCACCTATGAGCATTTGCAGTTACACTGTGCCAGCCATCCCCATAGCCCTGGCCCCCCTTCTGCTCTCTCCCACTCCACCTTGACCCACCTTCCTTCTCCTTTGTGTTTTCCAGGTTTTGTTAGCTATGACAATCCAGTCTCTGCACAAGCTGCGATCCAGGCGATGAATGGCTTTCAGATCGGCATGAAACGCTTGAAGGTGCAGCTGAAGCGCTCCAAAAACGACAGCAAACCTTACTGATCCCAACCCCAGAGGCTCCCTGCTCTTATTTTAGCTTTCTTAGGGTAAGTCCCACAAGCCAGCCTGTTCTCAACAGGGAAGGCAGAGGAGGACCACATTGCCAACTTTTACCAAGAGAGACGTTATTTTTACAATAAGGCCTCCATTTCCCCCGCCCAGCCCCCGACCCAGTCTGCCATAATTAAAACTTGGGCTACCTTGTTTATATTGAGTCAATTCCTCCTCCAGTTGTGCCACTGTATTCTCCTTTGTTTTGCAATTTGAATCTCCTTTTACCTTTTTTTTAAATTTTTTTGTTTTCATTTTTGCTTTTTTAAAGAAAAACATATATACAAATAAATGACATCTTGAGAATTTAAAAGGCAAACAAATGCTGATGTGCAATTCTAACTCTGAAACCACTGGTGCCCCGAGAGCACTGCCTGGAGCATTCACCCCTCCTTGTCCGCGCCCACCCCTGCGGAGGGCCCCCTGCGTTTAGCGAGGTGGCCTAGCAGAGGGAGAAGCAGGAGAAGCACTTAAAACAACACAAACGTCTTTCCACTACATCGGTTTGTTTTAATAAGTAGGATTTTATTTTAGGGTTCAAAGAAACATGACATTTATCGGTCAGATTATTACACTGGTTGTCTATTTTGTTATTGTTTTATTTTTGTTTTTAGAAAGGATTAATGTAAAAAAAGATTTAGAGATCTGTTTCTTAAAGCTACAGGGTTTAAAAATAAAATAAAAATGAGTGAAAATACTTGATGTTTCTTGAAAGATAAATTTAATAATAATAAATAAATACATAAATAATACATAAATAAAAAGAAAGCCACAGGCCTGTAAATTTTATTTGTAAAAAAAGCATTTCTATTTTTATACAAAATTTTTACTGCCTCAGAAATAATGGAAGTTATTTATTGCCTATTGTTAACTTATTGGGTACCTAAAGAGCAGTTCTCTGTCTAGCTAGAACCTTCTGAAGTAGTCTCTAGAGGAATTGTTCTAGGAATGGGCTTTTTCACCGTTGAACCCTAGACCTAAAGTTCATGCTTTATCCTCTCGTTGTTTGTATCTGTCTGATTATTTTGTTCGTAATTTCCATTATCTAGTTTACAGTTCAGTTGTCTGACTTCCCCATATGTTACCTTTGTTGAAACTGGACCCTCTTCCCTTTCCAGTCTCACCCCAAAACACCCAGAATCCATCCCCTCTCACTCTCCAGATGGATTCTCTTGGGGTTTCATTGTGCTGTGGAAAAAGAGTGTAAGAAATGCAAATTATGTGAATGGCTCGTAGACTCCCCGAAGACCTAAGATTTGCATTAGTTTTTCTCCTGCACCCTTAAAAGTGATTTTGTTGCTGCTGCCTAGATTCTGTGTAACTTTTTACTCTTCCTTGTTTTTTCCCTAGACATCTTCATGCCCGTTAGTTCATCGTTTGCCTAGCATGTCCCTGTGGCGTCTCAAAAAAAAAGTTTCATCGTCCCGTCATTGTTTCTGATGTCTTTCTGACCTCACATCATATTTGGTTCTCCTACTGACCTTTGATCTAGTTTGACCTTTGAAATTTGCATGTGACCTCATCTAGCTATGAATTCTGGGAAGTCAATGTGAAAAACATTGCTGCATTCATGCAAGACTGAAATTATTAGACAAATTAATTATAGAAAAAAAAACCTGTGGCAAAAATGTTTCTTTCTTATTTTTTTTTCTTTCTTTTCATAAAACAGACTTGAAAGTATTATACAGGGATTGGCATTCTTCCCGGTCACTGGTAACAATAGCAATATGTGTCCAGGGACACAGAATGTTGGTTTCTAACAGACTACTTCCAAAAACAGTTTGAGAAAAAAAACTGTCTGATTTTAAGTCTCTAGAGGTCTGTAATAGTTTTTACATTTTTCAGGCAGTGTAAAGTTTTTTGATAAGGCCATTTTAGGTGGCTCACTTTCTCATTAAGATATATATATAGAACCACTTTTTGTAGATTAGTATAAGAAAAATATTTACCCTGTTTTGGGGCAAATGCTACCTATTTGTGTCACCTTTTGCTGAACTGACTCACAGTTAGACAATCCATGGTTTAATGCACATGAAATTACCTATATTTTATACTGTTTCAATGTACAGGAGAAAGGTTACTGTAAACTGTGTTATGTTGGTGCTTCCGTGAATTAAGTTGTGGTTTCATCATGAGTCTTACGGTCTTAATGTTCTCTGTTGATAAGACAAGTTTAGAATTGGTTTACTTAAAACAAAAACAAAAAAAAAAAAAAAAAAGAATTTCAAAAAAAAAAAGTTGTTTGCTTAAAAAAATTTTTTTTCATGTGAGAAAAAAAAAAAAAAACTATTCCAGAATAAGTTCTGTGTTGGCTTGTGAAGCATTGATGTCATTTTTTTTTATTGTGGACTATTTAGATGTGTTTGTGTTCAGCAAAATGTGATCTGTTTTTTTTTTTCTTTTAAAGAAAAAAAGTGAAAATATATAGTGCCAAATTCCAAAGGTACTTCCTTCCTAGAGCTTCAGTGTGTTTCTTGTGAGAAGTAATTTGATAACATGGGTATTTTATTATGTGTTTTGTATAAATCCCTAATATTTAAAAAAAAAGGTTAAAAAGTTTGTTAACTTGCTATTCTGTGGTCTTGTTGCCTGAAATTGTTATTGTTTGTTATTTCTCTATGATGTTTTTTGTAAGACATTGTATAAGTGCCCATGTCTCACTTTTTTAACCCCTCTGCACATCAAGGCTGTGAAGGCACCCTCACAATGTATTTTCTTCATACTATATGGAAACCTCTAAGGTGAGAAAGTTTTGAACTTTTAACCCTTTCTACCCAGAGCTATCTGGAATGTTGGTAACTTTTTATAAAGCTGTCATCACTTGAGTTTGTTTTGGGGTGTTCCTTTTTCCCACCCGCATATATCCGCTGAGTGGTAAATTTTTACTACTTTCTTTTCCTTTGAGAGCCAAAAGAAACAAAATTCCACAAGGCAAATTTGAAGGGGGAAAAATACTCGAACACTCTCCAAATTTTGTCCTATGACATTTTTACTTTTGATTATTTCTGGTCTTTTTTTCCTTTAATTCCTAATGTGCTGCTGGAATTAGAATTCCTAATGTCCTGTGCTCCTTCTTTAGTTTAAATGAAAAATGGGGGGAAGTAGGTAGATTCAGTTCCTAAATAAACCTTAAAAATGCCGTATGCTTTTTGAGAACAGATTTAGTGGTATGTTCTAGTCTAGAATATTTTCATATACTTACAGTCAGTCAACTTTTGTGGTAGGACTGTCTTTTGAGGAATTTTACTTTTGTTTTAAATGCTCCTAAATAACCTTCAGTCAGCTACTGTGCTGGGAATTCTCTGACTCCAGTGGACGCCTCTGAAAGAGCAAGGTGTCTCAAGGGAGAAGCCCAGAGCCCCCTCAACTGCACTTTTTGCTTTCTGGTTCTTCAATTGAACACACTGATTGAACACAAAGGGGACTGGCCACATAAGTAGAGCTGGGTTCTTGACCAAATACCTTCCTGCTGCCACTTTTTAAAGTGCCATATTACTTTCACTTGGACTTTCTGTGAACAGATACCTTGCTGTCTTGACAAACCTGAATGTCGTACCTACAGCCCCAACACAAAGCCCAGCCTTCCTGAAAGCCAGCCCTGGAAGCTTCTGGGTCTCAGCTCCCTTTTCCTACCCGCCCTGTTTGGTTTAATGTGCGTGTGGACGTGATAGCCCTGGGATGGAAAGGACTAGCCTCTAATGATGCAAAAAAATAAAAACAGAAGTTTCCTTCTTACAGCACATGCACTTCTAACGAAATGATTTGTATTATCCTCACACGTGTTTACTACTGCCGGGGCCTTCCTGCAGCCTCTGAGGGCTATTTTGTACTTCCTGCAGCACTCAGCTTAGTAACAGGTTATTGCACACGTCTCTCATGTGTCATGGTGGTGTAGAGATACGTAGAAACGCAAGACAACACCATTGGAATTTCTTAGACCATTTCATTCCAAATCTATTCCTTTATCAATTACATTAATCTCAAAGTTTGGTTTTTTGGATTTTTGGTTTTTTGGGTTTTGTTTATTGTTTTTTATTTTTTATTTCTTTTAATTTTTTTTATCGAAGCAACTGCCCTCCTTTCCTCTTATCCCACCTGCATCTCCCCCACAGAAAAACTGAGCAGTTGACAGGAGGCTCAGGGTGGGCACTTTGAGCGTTTCTGATTTTGCAGGCAATCAAGACAGTATATCTAGAGTGAAAGTCCTTTTTTTTGGGGGGTGGGGGGGGTTGGTTTTGCATGTTTCATTGTTAAAAAAAAAATAATAGTAACCCTCCTCAGAGACAAACTGTCCTTTTTATCTTTTAATATCAAAAGGAAAACAGCTGCGAGGGTGCAAAGGGCCTGTGCCAGGAGACAAAACACGCAGGGAAGTGACTTTTTTTAAATCAAGTGTAGAGAATAGTCATTTTTAAACTAAATTAGAGAATTGTGACAAAATGGCAGTCCTCAAAGGCGTAACGAGTTCATCTTTCTTTCACCATAGGGGTTATAGTTCTTTGGCTTGTGCTACTCTGGAATCATTTTACTGTTTGTTTTTATTAAGTGCTAATTAAAAAGAAGAAATAAAATTTTAAAAAAACCTGTAGTTTCATTACCTTTTTGAATAATGTCATACAAAAAATGTATTTGTGTTTTTTTGTGCTGTGAGAATTGTTGTTTGTAGATTAATAATATCATTTTGTTTAGAATTACAAAATAGTTTTTAAATATTGTCTGAGAAAAGCCAAAGTTAATGCAACCTAGTGGAAACTGTAAGACCATTTGAGTATTGTTTCTGTTTTATTGATGCATTTGGATTTTGTTGTTTGATGGAATTTGAGCCAAAAAAAAAAAAATACACAGGCTTTCCTATTTCTACAACTGATTGTACTTATGCATTTTGTACCAGTGGAACTTTTTATACTGGAGATTAAAAAAAAAATGGAAATTTTTGTGGCTTACTCTCGTGGGCCCCCTGACAATGACTGATTTCAAGTTTGATTTCTGGTTGATAGAAAGAAAGTTGCTTTTCTTTTGAGAATTAAAAACTTTGGCTTGATTTCTTTTTTCCCTTTGCTTATATCTAGCATTAGAATTTTGTCTTAAAATACAGCGGTAAGTTTCACTTTTTATTCTGTATTGTGCAGTTACACAATAAGGTAATTAGATTTAGAAGTACTCAGTCACCTTAAGTGGATAAATGTATTAGTTAAACTTTAGGGGTTTGCTTTTTTGCTGTTTAGATCAAAGTTTTTTCTGATTCTTCTGTCCTCATTGTGAACATAACCGTGTAGTTGAAACAGTCAAACTTATTTTTGTAATGTATGTTACTGTGTGATGCGGTTTTTGGCTTCTGTCTCCAATATTAAACCATTTTCCTAATACTTGTTTCTCTCTCTGCGTGTTGTATTGTTGGTGGTCATTGTATGTTGGTGATGCATCTACACACCTCACTGTTTCACCTGTTTTTTTTCTATATGTTGTGTAAAAGATACAGTCGATTCCACCTAAGTGAATATCTGATTTGGGGAAACTGCACACCAGCCACCTTCATTTATGTACAAGGGTCCACTCTGACCACTGCTTCCAAGACTGATACTTTTTTCTATGGTTCACCTAAATAACTGCCCTACCAAGCTGGATTCGCCAAGACATTTTATGGTCCTTTGACCATACAGGTTCATTTCACCACCTCTTCTGACCTCCTTCCCCTTCTCCCTCCCTCATGAGTGTATATATTTACATAAACATGGATATATATGCACACTCATGTGTACATATATATAATATGCATTTCCTAATGTTCACTAAAATCTGCTGCATTATCTTAAGAAGAAAAGCAGCAGACTTGGGGTTCTTCTGTCTACCCCCAAGTCCAAAAGCATAAAAGCATATCATTACGGTCAAGCTCTTCTCAGAAACTGATCACTTTTTCAAATGAAGTGAGGTCTCAAGGGAGGAAAAAATAAACATAGCTGGTGAACAGAAGATGTGAAAAGGGTTAAACTCAGTTCTGTGTTGCCATCAATCAATAGATATGTATAGAAAAGTAATTTAAATTATTTATTCCTACAAGCTAATTGAATCCAGGAGCAGCTTTAATTATTAAAACTAATGGAAGAGAAAAGAAATATTTCCAAGTGCTCAAATGGAAGCTCTACTCAGTCTAAAGGGGGAGGTGAAGCTTCTCATGCTCAAGTCCTCAATGGCATGCTGTCCAAGTCCACAGGAAAGCTCGTAATGCCCCATGAACCCCACACCCCTTCTGAATGCACGCACAGCTAGGAGTAGGCTGTGTTCCTGTCACCCAACCCCAGTCATCACAAAGAGAAGAACTACTCCTCACATGCCCTCCACATCTTAGGCCAGAGGCCCTCCTCCCTTTTCTGCCCAGCTCCTATGCTCAGGAATCTGACTGCTCTTAAAGTGCTCTTAAAAGATTCCACGATGTCTGCTCCCTGTCTTCTCTCCTCCCAACCTTTCAGACGCACAAGCTCTGTCTGCCTCAGGCCCCCAGCACCTGGTGCCAATGAGATTTCTCCCCACAGGTGCTCGGGCTCTCCGCCCTCTGGTTTCAGCTGCCCCTCTGGCCCCAAGATTGTATTTTTAAGTAGGGTCAACAAGAGGGGCCTAGTGAGGTGGAGGAAAGGCGGCTCTTTCTCCCATAGGCCAGACACCTCAGTGGTAGTGACTGCCACCAGCTCCAGACCTGCACAGAGGGGAGCTGACTTCCTGCCGACACTTCCGCTTTAAGCCTCATCACAGCCTTCCATCAGCTGCCTCTGAAAACCCACTGCTCACTAGTGGGGAAAGACGGCTAAGGGTGTGATTTCTTTTTCTTTCTTTTCTGAGGGGGTTGGGGGGCGGGGGGCACAAGGGAGGGGAGACTGGGGAAAGAGTGTGATTAAATTCCTTACAAGATGCAAGTGTTTACTTTTAAAATAATATAACCACCATTTGGCACAAGGCAAAATACTCATGCTAAGGGAAGGAAGGGAAGACAAAGCCAGTTTTTGCTGTTTTCCAAAAACAACAAAAACAATAATTCTCCAAAGAAGAGGATGCAAAAGGCTAGTTCCTTAAGCACGGATGACAGTAAAGTTGGTCCCTGCTTAAATTCATACTTATTTTGATTTCTAAAACACCACTGCAGCGTGAGCAAGGTGTACCTGCCTGCCATGCACGGACCACCTTGAAAATCAAGGACTGCCAACGCTTCCTGGCTGACGGGAAGCCACATGCCTGCCCGGCCCACAGCAGTTGCAGGCCGTCCATGGGCTCAGCCTCTTGGCTAGCAGGCTAGGAAACACAGTGAACATAAATGTACTGTGAATCGTTCCTGATAAGTGAATAAAACATTGTGACCAAACAATCAGCTTATTCACTTATCAGGAATCGACTGTTCTGCTAATTCACTGTTTTTGTTTTTCATTTCTGTTGTAGTTCACTATTTTTGCTGTGTTCTGTTTTCTCCTCTCATGCTTGGGCAAAATCACTGGGAATATTATCTTCATGTGACCATGAAACGTTTATATGGAGTGGAAATGATATCTTAACAAAATCTATGCACTTGCTATCAGGAACACAATACTGGATGTGTCTTATATATATTGAACTATATAGTACTCGATTTCTTAAATAAAGCTTAAGAAAGGACTCTGTTGTGTGTTAAGTTAATGTGATTATTTTTCAAAGCAGTGTTTCTAAGGCGTATTTTTGTTCTTTTAAGTCTTGAGTGATACAGGATATTTTTCATTAAAATTATATCACTGGCTTTATGACTTAATATTCAATAAATTGACTTTGGAAACAAAATGGAGTGGGGGGAAGTTCTTCTGAATTCATTTTAGCAAGTGATCTGGAAAACAGTCCCCTTCCTGGTGACTACAGCAAATCTCTAGTGAGGCACTATAGGGGTGGCCAAACAGAGCAAGCCCTTCACCTCTAACAGACCACCAGAAAGCGTCCAAAGTCCACCCTAACCCAGAAAACCCAACTTATTGCTGAATGTGATCCTTTAGACTCAGAAGAAAGGGGACAAAGGAGAAAGGCAGATTCAAGAGTAACACTGGTCTGTGTCGATGCTTTGCCAGAATGATGTGACACTAAAACTATACCCTGCTGGAGAACAATGGAAGTCCTATTCAGGACCACAAAATGAGAGACAGCAAGAGAACGTATTTGATCATTCCAGATGAGAAGGGTAAGATTTCAAAGTGCAATGTGCGAGAGGCATCCGGAAACAGCTGCACAGCCTAAATGGGAGGCCTGCTGCTGGGCCCTTTGAAAGAATATGTTTGAAATTTTTCCTACAGGCCATAAGTTTGAACAGAACAGCATTTTCTGTTGGATTTTTTTTGCTCTGGGTTTTTTTGTTGGATTTGTTTTTCTTGCTTAATGTTTGATTCTAAGAAAAATTCCTAAACTTCTATTTGCAAAATGGCACAGAAATCCTAATCCAAAACATATCCATCCCTGGTAATGAGGGACAGAAAGAGCATGGTCAATGAAAACGCACTGACAATACAAAATTCCTCTTCCCTTCTCTACTTTCTTCCACCCCAAACCTCCAAGACACGTTTGTCACATAGCCGAAAACCTCTAGGGAAGGTGAGGGACCAGAGAAATAGCCATGGGACAGGAAAAAGCAGCCAAATCAAGGGGCCAGGGTGGGGAGAGCCGACACTATGAGAACCACTGGTCTGTATGAACTGGGCTCAGGGGTTACTATTGGCTGCACCGGGGAGGCACCTTGGAACATCGTCACAGCCTTTCCTTGCCAGCCAGTGGCACTACTAGAAAGCATGCCCTTTTTCAAGAGGGCACATCCAAGCCATCATGGGCAGGAAGGCTCTGAGCCCCACACAGGGAAGAAGAATGAAAACTAGCATACTCCCTTCTTGGCCGGCAGCCCTGAACCAAGAGTACCCCATGCTCTCCAACTGGGGCAGCTGCCGGAAACCCTGCATGGAGTGTCTGAGGCAGGTTCATAGGACACGAGCTGCTTTATGAGAGAAGCTGCACTACTTTTGACCTTTCTCTGTTGGTCAGCAAAGCAGTCTGGCACCAACTTCTACTTGCCTACCTCAGGAGAATATTTTCAAGAAGAAAAAAATTATATACATATATACACACAGCATATGTAAACACACAGGTGTATACAGTGTTCAGCAACTGGTCAATTAAAGCTGCACAAAAGAATTCCCAACTTCGGGACACAATGATCCTTTTTCATGAAGCTGGTGTGAGAGGTGCAGAAAGTGGGTGCCAGGAGCATTCTCTGGGGAGCCAGACTGCCTACGTTTGAATGCCAGCTCTCCCTCTAAATACCTGTGTAATCTCTTTGTGCCTTAATTTCCTCATTAGTAAAATGAGGGTAAAATATAATACCTAATGCATGGGGTTGTTATGACAATTACGCCAACATATAAAAATGATCTCATCATATAATAAGCACTCATAAACATCAGTCAGTTAGCATGGACATACTTGGTTAGCTGAACGCCCGCTATGGCCTGGTCTGTACCTTCTAGCTGGCATCCTCCCAGCCATCTCTAGAGCCCCGCCACTCTCCCTGGGTATCTACAGACAAGAATTGACCACAACCCCCAGTTCTTCCAGCAGAGATGTCAGCACTCTCAAGAACAGATGTTTCCCCTGGTGAGCAGTTATCCATGAATGGCACCCCACCTACTGGGTTAGCATACCACACCGTTCCGCCCTGAGTCTGCCAGAGCGACGGACTCCATTCTCAGACAGGGAAGCCACTCCTCATGCTGAGGCCACTCCTTCCTGCCTCTAAGTATTATATTTACTCATATCTTTCACAAAAGGAAGACCTAGCTGTCTAGTTTGTTCCCAATGCAGGAAAGAGATCAATCTCCTATAGTCTTGCCTATGACAAGCCTGCAGGTTCTGGGCCCTTCCAGGGTAAAGTGATGTCCTCGGCAACAACCATAATTAGTCTGTGACTACCTTAAGAACAGCAGAGGTGGAGCTCAGAAGCCCAGCAGAGAGCCCTGCAGACCCACCCTCATCATACTCCCAGTTTCACCAAAACAGTCTGCCTTGGTGTGTTTTTCTTAGTAGTGGTCTGTGTCGCAGCTTGTTTAGGAAAACAATGTTGGTACCCAGAGTACATACATTAAAGCCACTGCTTTAGCAAAGTGTGGTTCTGAGAGGGGCTCACCATTACCCAAGCCTGTGACAAGCTCTAACTCTCTCTGGAGTCATTTTCCCGTCCCCCTTCCTTCCTCATCTCTACTCTCATCTTCTCACAGTTCCTTGTGATGCGACATAGCATTCGCTCTTTGCTGTATGCTATTTACATGTTGTTTATGTCCATCTCCCAAGAGACCGTGTGTTCTTCAGGGAAGTGACTGTGTCTCACACAGTGCCTGATGGGTGATCCGAGCAAAACTCCGTAACACCATGATGCCAAGTGGGGCTATGTGTTAAAGACCTGTGAAGAACAACACTTCTCAGATTCTAGCCCCCGGCTGGACTCATTACTGCTCAGACATAATGTCTCCATGCTAGAGCTCAGAACTCTGTCTGGAGGGAGGATCAAATACCATGGGTGATGGGGCAGAGGAGCTATCCCTGAAGTCTTCTACACAGCAATATCTCTATCAAAGGCAGAGCTGATCAAAGTGGTCCTGTGTGCTCGAGTCATGCTTCCCAACTGGCCAACCACAGCACATTCTCACCAGTTTACAAAATGAGACCCACCCAATAACTTCACCTCTTTAAAAACTATGAACCAAAACAAATGCCAGGAGCCTTATGAAGGGAGGGAGGGGATTTTATGGAGTGACAGGCCCTGGGTAGGAACAAAGGATAGGAGCTAGGACATGAGAATAATGTCCACTGAGTGGACACTGCAGTCACTAGCCCAAGGCCCCAAGCCCACAAGCTTGTTCTCCATCTAGTTCCCAGCTCTGTCCACCTTCTCATTCCACTGTAACTGTGTCCACCCCTGAAGTGGCCCATTCAGTTTCTCCTCCAAGCTAGATATACACCTGTTCCTAGTATCAACTTATACCAGCAGCTACGGAACACCAGGGCTCTCCTCCCTGCTTTCCCTTACATGGAATCCTCTGCAGAGCAGCAGTCAGAGAAGTAGAGATTCCCAACTGCCTGACCCCGTCATGGAAAAGCAAGAAAGGCAGGTGATCCCCAGGAAATACTGGTGATCAAAAAGGAAATAGTGGTGATCCTATCCTTAAGGAATGTGACAAATATATTATCCACCTACATCATGAATTTGGAAACTGATCTAAAGTAATGTTTTCCAGATCATATTACACAAACATTAACTGCCACATGATCTCCGGGAAAAATAAGTTCGGTAGCCAAGAAATGTGAGAAATCCTGATAAGAGTACTTTCTCTCAGAAAATCACAATGTGCAGCTAACACAAAAAGCTCGGAAAAGTCTTCGCATTCCTGCCAAGATCCACCTATGTAATTCTGCTTAAAGCAGTGTTTAAATTGTGCATTTGTTCTTGAAACTTTTTACCATAATACCTGCCAATGAGAGGGCTGTTACAGTGTGGTGGTGAAGAACTTGGACTTTGGAACAACTGGAGTTTGCATTATGGCTCTGCCACTTATTAGCTATGATCCTGAGCAAGTTACTGGATTTCTTTTTGGGGGGTTGGAGGGGTTCCAGGGACTGAACTCAGGGTCACTCAACCACTGAGCCACACCCACAGCCCTATTTTTTGTATTTTATTTAGAGTCAGGGTCTCACTGAGTTGCTTAGAGCCTCACTTTTGCTGAGGCTGGCTTTGAACTTGCTTCCTCCTGCCTCAGCCTTCCAAGCCATTGGGATTACAGGTGTACACCACCATGCCCAACTCAATGGATATAATAGTGATACTTGTCTATATACAAGATATTCATAACAATATATGTAACACAATAAGCACCAGATAAGTATCCATTAACATTCAGCAAAGCCAATGTTCTAAGAAAATTTAAATCCCTTTGGAGTTATGGGAATCCTAACTCTCCCTAAGATTACAGACTAGTTGGAGAGCTAGGTATTTACTTGTGACCTAACAGGTTACGTCATTTATAAGGAGTAAGTGAGGACTTTAGAGCCCAGAGAGGGAAGAAATAATATTTCTAATGGTGAAGGATTCTACAGCTAAACTGACAGAAATTCCAAAATGCAATCAGGATTTCACCAAGCAGAAAAGTGTCCTGACAGCAGCAAAGGCAGGAAAAAGAGGAAAGGGACAAACATTTAGGTGCGGGGATGAGGGGAATGCCAAGACAGTAGCAAATGTCCTCGCAATGGAAACAGGATGAGGAGCATGTCCTGGGAAGGGGTGGGTACAGGCTTGTGTCAGATTCAAATCTATCCTGATCTTGATCTCAGAAGGTGGGGGGCCAGGCCAGGTGTGGTGGTGCATGCTTATAATCCCAGCAACTAGAGAGGCTGAGGCAGAAGTTCAAAGCCAGTCTCAGCAACTTAGCAAGGCCCAGAGCAACTTAGAAAAACTGTCCCAAATATTTTTTTTAAAAAGGTGGGAGCCAGGAGACGTGAGTCACAGGTGCTAAGTAGAGTCATAGGAATGGCTGGACTTACCCTGCAAGTGTGGCAAGAAAAGAGGGCCTATCCCCGATTATGAGCCACAATGACACTAA